GGGCAGGGGCAAGGGCAACAAGCAGATGCACATGAAGCGTTCAAGTCTCATCTTTAAATATGTCTAAAAGCCACTAAAAATGTCTCCTTCAGCCAAACTCATCCTTGATTTAAGGAAGGAGAAAAAAAAAAATCCCAAATGCTACATGTTAAAAAAAGTCTGCATTAAGCAAAAAAACCTTCCCTTTGTTGCTAGGGGACTTACTTGCTTTGTATCTGCTGAAAACCTTTAAAATGCCACCATTGTATTTTAACAAAACCCCGCGACTGAAGCATCTCATGTGCTAAAAATCAAGAGACAGAGCACATCAGTTCCATCCTTCCTTTGCAAGTACTTCGCTCAGGCCTCACTTCGTTTTGTATCTTGGTCCTCGATGCTTTTTGGCAGTTTGCTCCAGACTTACTGGCAAGGGCTAAAAGGTTTCTATTTAGCTGGTGTCAGCTGAGCATCTGTGCCGGCAAGAACTGGAGTGGGGGTGATCCCGACTGCATTTCAAAAGCACATTTCTTTTTGGGAGCTGCCACCAATAATTTTCAGTCTAAGTGCGTCTGGGTAGCGGGGTGACTCCCTCCAGAGGGGTCCCCTCTGCAGGCCTCGAGCAGAGCCCTCGGTTCTGGGAGGGATTCCTGACCAGCGGAGGGAAAAGGAGCTGGGAACGCTCCCTAACCTGTGACCCTGATAACAAAAGGCAGGGAGAGCGTCTAGACCTCCAGTCTGACGGGGAGTGAAGGCGAGCATTGTGCTGGGGCTGCCTCAGACAAGGCAGGCACACAGCGCTGCGGGGCAGGAGCACGACGCGGTCCCAGCTGCGGCCACCGACAGCATCGCCCCAAAAACCCACCGCCTGCTCGGGGAGGGGGGGCACGCACAGCCCACCCCTCCTCCCCAGTGCAGGGTCGAGTTTTCGGGGCAGCTCCCGGTTCCCAGCGCAGCTGGAATCGGTGGAAATGAATGAGACCGTCCCATTTCCAGCCTGACCAGCCCCGGTTTTCCCTTTGCCTCCGTGTATTTCACACATACAGTGCTCACGCTCCTGAACACACTGATCCTGCAATGCTAGCTCCGTGCAGACTGCCAACAGGGGAGAGCAAAAAAAATATGCTTCCTTCCACAGAGCCTTTATTTTCTTTGCTCCCTGTCTGGCTCAGTTCAAAGGGGGCAAACCAAGACATTCCCACTCCACCAAGCCCAGAGATCAGCTCAACATTCAGAAAAGCTGAAGCCGAGCCCCAGCTCTGCCACATATTTCTTGTGTGACCCTGGACAAACCCCCTGGCTTCTCAGTGTTGAGGTCCTCACATATAAAAATACAAATACCCTAAATAAATGCTGGAGCTAATGGCAGGTTACTGCCAGGGAACTGCACAGAGAGAAAACAAAAGACCTATTAAAAGCCCTCGTCCATCTCTGCCAGAGAGAAAACACTATTACCCAGTACTTAAAAAGATGCATTAAAGGAGAGAGAGCATCCGGGGGGTTAAGGACACCCCTGGCAGAGCAGTGAGGGGAAGCACTCCAGGCCAGCTGCCCCCCATGTGCCCTCAGGACAAGGATTCAGGTGCTCCCACGCCCTGGCCATGCCCTTGGCTGTGCCCTGACTGTGCCACTGCAGGGACCAGAAGCAGCACCTTGCCCTGAGCACAGCCAGCACAACACAGTGAGGCTGGACCTGCCCCAAACCTGCCAACCTGCAGGTCAGAGCTCTGGGGAAAACAAAAACCATCAGTTTCACTGTTCCTGAAGGAAAGATAAGTACCTCTCAGAAACTGGGTTTCCTGCCAGAAGATGTGCAGCTGTACAGACCGTGAAACCACTGTGACCCATGGTGGCACTGGTGTGGTCTACCCTGGACATCAGCAGTGCTCACTGGCCCGGGCTAGACCCTTGGAGTTACAGTGTGAAGCTGAACAAAACCAGTCCCACCACCTGAGGTAGTTTAAATAGCCATGAAAAACCCACTCCCTTCTGATGAGAGGTGAAGTATTAACAGCTGACGGTGATTAGAGTGAATTCAGAGCAAGAGAGGAGTTTTGTTATCCTGGCGGCCACTTGATGCCAATCCTCAACCGCATACCTTACCACGTCCACACCTTTCTACCTGAAGAAAAGGTGAGGGCCTGGAAGTTTCTACTGCCCTGCCTCCACCACTTCCTTCCCCATTTCCAAAACATCACCTCTCCTGCTGCAGCTCCTCCCTCAGGTGCTCCAGGTCCCTGAGACCACCAAGGCACTAATGCTGCCCACGGAGCTGGGAGCTGTGGCAGGACACTGCGTGGTGGCACTGGGATGGGATGTCACACACCTGCACTCTCAGCAGGGTCCAGCCCCAACTTCCTCACAGCTTGGCACCTGCCACGGCAGCAGCTCCTCTTCTGACAACTGCCTGTGATTTATTTTGGTACACATGCACAGGGAGACTGAGAGATCCTACACTGGGATTTTATCAGCAGTATGCAGCTATGGAAACAAACCCATTTAAGACTAATATAACAAAATGCCCAAACCCACAACAGTAAAATAAAGAACGGTGCATACTGGCATTTTCACAGGGGAGCACTGCAGTGAATGCAGAGCATGACCCAGCTTCTCTCAGACAGAATTAACCCAAACCTCTAAGAAATCACGTACTTTCGTGTAGTTACATGTTTAGCTATATGAATTTTGTTTTCTGCAAACCCTCCACCCTGCTCTTTGATTTTACACAGTTCAAGGACAGCATCTCCTCCTAAATCAGATGAATAGCCATTTCAGCCCTCGCTGGGAGTATTCCCTCTTCCCCCTCCACATCCATTCCCAGCCACTCTTAGTGAGAAGCAGGACAGCCGACACAAAACCCAGCAGAAACTGCAGCACCCCTTTTTGCTCCGTGTTCAGGGGGAGAATAGCAGTGCCTCACCACGCTCAGCCACACTGATCCCTCTCAGCAGCAAAGAGAGGGATCCACAAGTCATTTACAGAAATTCAAGAGTCTGACATCCACACCAGTGACACCCTGGAGTTACCAGGGAGATGGTGGAACACTCAAAACACCCAAGAAAATAGCCCAGTGAAAGCTAAACCTCCCTTTCGAGTCTGTCTGGGTTGGTGTTTTGCCCCGCCATGTGCAGGGCTTTATCCCAGGGACGGGCACGGGCATCTCTGCCCGGGGGTCCCGGCTCTGCAGGCAGCACCAGGGCACTCCGGGAGGAAGCGGATGGTGGAGGTGGCGATGTCTGGGAACGCTGGCCCGGGCTGGAGCTGCAGACAAGGACCCAGACAACAAAGGCGAGGCAAAAAGCCGTCTGATAGAGGCAGCCCCGTCTGGCAGCCGGGGCTTTCAGAAGCCCGGGCATGCACTGATGTCTGCAAGCACAGCTCTTCGCTGGGCGCTCAATTAACCCCGCAGCAAGATCCCTAAAGTGTCCTACAGCACACTCCAAATAGCATCCATCTGGTAAGATGAAAAAAACCAAAGAGTACAAGAGCACGGCAAAGGAGCAAACAACTGGAGACTGCAGGGAACGGCTCTACAACAAACAAAAATTATGCTTAATTTTCTGTTATTTATATTCTAAGAAAACCGCATGTTTTCACTTGCATCTCTGCCTCCTTCCCCGAGGCACAAACACACACACACACACACACAAAATGGGACAGGGAAGACCAGGGAAAGCAGGAAGAGCAGCACAGCCAGAACACATCCCTGCTCACACACCTTCCCAAATCACAGGACAAGAAAACGGGTGCGAGTTTTACAACAGTCGAGTGACAGCAAACACCTTTTGCTGGAGTGAAAAATGCCCCGAGCAGCTGCTCAGAGCACCGTGAGCGACACCGGGGCTCCCTCTGCCTGGCTTAGGAGCTGAAATCTTAAGGCATTAATATAAAATAAATACAAATAAACCACTGACTGCCGCAGGACAGTTTCCCTAAGGACTGGTGTGAGCGTCCCCGCACTGGGGCTGATCCCAGCCTCTGGCTCCTGCAGTTCCCCTGCCTGATGTCTGCACCAAGATAATGCTGCTGGGGGACCGGTGGTGTCTCAGGTTTTTTGCATAAATAAGCACTATTCTGCCATGCAACCAAATTGTGCCATCAAGCCTGAAATAATGCAACTGAAATAATTTTTTTGGTTTTATTTTAGATTACGACTTCTACTAATTGATGCTTGATAAAAGCTTAATGAATGATGTGTAGGCATTATAAGCCCGTTAAAGATCTGAGCATGGTTATAAGCCAAGGTCATAAGCTCTATTGACTTCCCAGGCTCTATAGCAATTGATTAGCCATTTATTCAAATCATTTATTCACCACTTGTTAACACTTTATTTTTCTGATCCTTTCCCAGCAGGCTTGGGACTCCACATTTGAGCAAAGACACTTTACTTTTGGGGTACTGTCAAAACCTCAATTCTAAACTGAGAGACAGACATAGATGTTATTACGATGTCTTTTTAAAACAGCAAAAGCTATTTTTCAAACAGGTTCAGCTCAAATCCAGCAGCCTGGTTCAACAGGGCTCCCAACACCTCATTTTGTCTGTGCTGAACACAGGCAGCTCCAGCCACACTCAAGAGGAGTCTCACATCCCATGACGTTAAAGGGTTCAGACTGTCAAACTACTTTCACAAAACACAATGAAAGTTTCTGTCCTCAGTGTAGTGCTGCTCATTAGTTTGCCAGAGTATCAGCAAATGGAAAAGTACTGGTGCTTAAAAAGACATTCAGCTTTTGAAGATGGTTCTACATTGAACAGCAAAAGACAAAAATCCCATCCAGGATTACCAAAGTGCAGCCAGGTAGGGATAGCCAAAAAACAGCAGGTTTGCACAGTCAGCCTCTGAAGACAACACTGCATCCCCCTCTGCACCCAAACAGCAGGTACCTGCTGCTCTCGGGGCCAGGCAACGTCCCACCCGTTCCGTGGAGCGAGTAACTGGGGTGTTTATGGTACAGCAGCTGCAATCATGCAATCAGCCTTCGTAATTAGATCTTGGCAACTCTTGAAATACTTCACTTACCCAGTTTACCTGGAAAGGTGCGACCTAAACATTCAGTGCCTGGAGACATTTGAGAGAAAAACAGAAAGCATCTGTCAGTGATGGGAGCCACCTCCGACCGGCTGCAACACACCCCAGCTCCCTCCTGGGCACTCATCCTGACAGAGCTCCCCCGTTCCAGACATGGCTGACACCTCCACCCAAACCTACCACCTCCAGGAGGAACAAAGCCACCCCAGTCTGGGTGCCACCACTCCTGGTTAGACCCCACATGCTTTTCCCACACCAGACATTGCTGCACAAGGTCCCATTTCTCTCTCCCCAACATGGACCTCCCCAGGATGGCTCTGCTCCCCCCGTGGCCATCTCACCTGATGGCATGCTGGAGCCTTAAGAGAGGTTTGTGAAGTTTCTGTGATCGCTCAGCCCACCCCAGAGACTTCCCTGCCACATCCAAGAGTGCCAGACTGCCTGTCCATGGCCCCGGGCAGCACTCTGCACTTCAAAGCACTGGCGGGCTATTTGTCATGTTCTGTCTCCTCTGCAAACACTGGTAGCTGAGCCCCATGTGCTGCTGAGCCTGGATGAAAGCTCAGGGTCTCCTGACACCTCACCCCCAGTGGGGGCTTCGGGGTGCTGAAGAGGAAGACCCACATCAAAATCTTGCACAACACCCCAGACGCAATGCCCAGCAGATGTATTTTCAAGTGAGGAGAACAAAGCAGCCAAAAGTTTACAATAAGAGACAGCTCATGACTTTTCTCTCATCCATCAGTCAGCAGTGTGTGACTAGCAGGAAAACTGAAGGGGTTATGGGATATGGACCCTCCTGACCGCCCCAGCACAACCCCAGTGCCTGACAAGCTGTGACACCGTGGGCCGGATGAGTGCTCTGCATCCCCCAGGGGTTTCACCAGAGAAACACGTGTGCAGGACTTTTTTATGAAGCCCATAAGAACTGTCTGTCACTGATAATGGTTAATTGGTACTAATTAGTACAGTCTGATCTGAAGGAGTCCTACTGGCCTATAAAAGAGGCCTTTAACCCGACAGACAGCAAGGGAGGCTGTCACTGCCAGACACACCACGCCGGGGCTGCGGACACACCGCGCGCTCCCACAGTGGCAGAGCAGACTGGGAGGTTCAAGGGGTTATATCAACACATCATTGCTCCCAAATAAAGCTTTAAAAAGCTACTTTCCGTGCACCTGAGAGGACAGAGATAAGCAACTTTTTCACCCCAGGAAGAGATTACGGGTCAGAAAGTCGCTGCAAATTACTGCTAAATAACGAGCGATCGTGGGCTCGGAGTCGGCTCACTGAGGTGAAGTCAGGCTGATTCAAAGGGATGAGTTCAGACACTGCAAATCAGTGCTTCACATGCAGGTGTTCAAAAGTGACCGTGCAAGTGTGTGGTGTCACCTGAATGCACATGGGCTCTGAGAGCCTCCAGGGTCTTGTGCACCACCACCACCCCGCTGGAGCGGGCACCGTGACGGGAAAGGGAAGAAAGGAATTCTGCCGAGCCAAACACCGACATGTGGCAACAAGCTCGGACCTCCTCCTCCTCCTCCTCAGCCAGCTCACTGCACAGAGCCTGAAAAAGGGTGGGAGGCTGGAAAGGAGTGAAAGGCCATAAGAAGACTGGAGGCCAAAAAGGGGTGGGAGTCCCAAAAGGGAAAAGTAAAGGCTGAGAACAAGTGGACGCCAAAAAGGCTTGGGAGGCCCAAAAGGGTGGGAGTCCAAAGGAAATGTAGATGTTGAAAAAAAGAGCCCCCATGTCTGCAGCTGGTTGGATCAGGATCAGCTTTTCTCTAGTTGAATTTACAAAAGGGTAGAAAGCAACATCTCTCCCCACCCCACAGCCCAGACAATGCCCCCACTGGCGCTCAGCATGCAGCGCTGTGCACACAAAGGCACATCACCCTGTCTCATCATGCCTCATCCAAAACATTTGGTGATGGTCTGGGATGTGTGGGAGAAACAAGCCTGAACCCTCTGAAGTCAGGCAGGATTTTGGGATGCTGCTTCTCCCCTCTCTCTGAGCACTCCTGCCTCTCCCATCCTCACATCTGCCCTTTAGGTTCAGCCACGCATTTGCCAACTTTTTAAATGCAAATGAGAATTGGCACATAAAGTCGGTGCTTTAAACCTGACCAGAGCCACCCTCAGCTCTCCTCCCTCCCTCCATATATGCATAACTTTTTTTATGCAATCGGCAGCAGGGAAGAGATACAGGGAGTGGCTGAGCCGTCGGCGCATATTCCCGGTGGATCGGTGCCCGGAGCCCTTCTGCAGCCGCAGTCCTGCCAGACGGCTCCATGTGAAGGGTGGCTCACACTGTCTGCCTACCAGCAGCAGCAGCAAGGAACCAGTAATTACACTGGCTGGACCAACACCTGCTCGTGGTTTTGTCTTACACTGTTTGTGCAACCCAACAGGCTGCCAACAAAACAGAGATGTGCTTCGCCTAAACAGGTGAAAACACGAAACAGGGAACGGAGCTGCTGTGTTGGTCCCACAACGCCTCTGTACAACACATGCTGGAAAATCGTTGCTGGTTTAGCCTTCAAGAAAGCTGCAAAGCATGGCATGCACTGAAAAGACAGGTCTTTGCTATGGGAGGAGGGAAAAGGGCTGCCCGTCCGCAGAGCCCAGCTCCTGGATCCAGCCCCACGCTGGTGCAGGGCACACAAATGCTCTTTGCTGGGCACCAAAACAGCCTGGCTGGCCAGGAGAGTACCACTAAACTGAGCATTCCACGTGGGATGATGGCATGCAGGACATGGCAGCCCTCCCCACCCTTCAGAGCAGAGCTGCTCCCCAAAAAGCCCTGTGCCAGCTCAGAGCAGAGATGCCCGTTCCCACACCAGGGCACGGGCAGGGGATCCAATCCCGCACGGCATCTCTCACTCGTGGAGCTGGAGCTCAGCACTGAGGTGGGAAGAGGAGGGTGAATACCCTGAAGGACCAAGAGCAAAGACCCCAAAGGAACACTAGGATCAGCCTCAGCCTTCCTTGCCTTTCTGCACGGCAGGAAAGCCAGGATCAGCTCCAACTCCACCAGGTCACACCAAAGATATGCTCCCCCCTACCCCGTCGGCAGATGGGATTTGTTGTAGATGATTTGTCCTGGAATAAAAACATCAGCCCCACCTCTTGCAGCCTGTTTACTGAAACCCACTAAGCATTAAACAGAGGCAAAAAGTGTATCCCAGCAACATCTGGAATTTATCCCTTCTTCCTTCTGCAAGAAAAAATAAATCACGCTCTATTCTTTCAGAGAAAGAAAAGTGATTATATAGAATTATAATGCTGGAAGAAGATAGAGAAGAGCAGAGATTTTCTTTGAAACGCTGTTTGGACAATTAAAAAGGGACAGTTTCAAAGAAGCAGCAAATCCTATCTCAGCTTCTTCCGCCCTGTCTCACAGTGCCAGGCTTTCCTCCCATGCGTTGGCTAAGACACTTATGAAAGCAACAGATTCTTTTCATCCTCACAAGACCTTAAGTAAGCTAGAAAGAAAACCAGCTCTAAGGCCTAAGTGGTTAAAGATATACCAAATAAAAAAATTATTCTTCCAATTCCTGCCAACGGGATTTGAAGGTGCCTTGATTTCTCTGGGACCGGCTTTCCTGAAGAGGATGGCTCAGTCTGTTCCCAAGAGAGCCAACGCGCCGTCTCTCCAGACAGAAGAACGGAAAGGCTTTAAACATTAAAACAGGAAAGACTATCGGGATTAATATGAGGATGCAAGGTCAAAATGAGATTTCCTCCATTTCCTCAGGCTCCTGACCCCAGAATGGCTGGGTGACAGCCCCACAGCATCACCTGGCCCCAGCCACAGCCAGGGATGCCTGGGTTCAGAGGGAAACCCTTCCCATCCTTCCCGAGGTGGGGAGTGAAGCAGCCACTCTCACGCCAAGCCCACAGAAGTGCCTCCAGCTACTAAATTACCCAACGACTTAAACGAACTGCATTGATCAGCCTGGAAAACAAAGCTGCAGATCCTGGCATGTGCCCAGCTAGGAGGGTACAGCTGCATTTTTCACCTGCAAGTAGTTACAACCATAGTAAGAGACACCCCTTCCCTGGCCCTGACACCCCTCCCTGAGGGGAAGGACCAAAGGGCAAACACAGGCAAGAGGGATCCACTGCTCCAGACACCTTTCAGACAGAGCAGAGCCTCAGCAAATGACAGGTGTGTCCAGTTTTGCAATAGAGGGCAAGGCTGTTCCTAGAACAAGTCCCATTACTTGGGCTCCTCAACCCCCATCTCCTTGGCTGCACTGCACGTGGACTGGATGCAGGATTTCATCAGGACATTAAACTCAGAAGCTGTAAAATCACTGTGCAAAAACCCAATTATACCTATTTTCGTAACTGCCAATTTAAGCTTGTATTTAGGTCCCCTCACATACCCCTATGTTACATAAAGCATTTCTTCCACTTGAAATGTAGCTTTCTAAAGGCCATTTTGCTTAATTTAATAGACTCTTAATGTGGGTCTGCAAATCTCAAGAAACGCAGCCAAGGAAGACACACGGCCGCGAGCTGGAGTGTGATCCCCTCCCGAGCACCCCGCAAGAACAGGAGGGGATGAAAGGCCTCTCCAAACCCATGAACCTGCTGTGACTGGAGTGCACTTGTGGTCTGAAGAGCAGCAAAACCCCACGGTCAAGTCAAAAGAGAAATTCCTGAACATCTGCACGCACCGTTAACCCCCTCAAGACCACCCAGCACTCCGCAGGCTGCACAGCAGGATGGATCCCTCCCTCCCTGCACAACCAGGAGCTGAGCTGAGCCCACTCAGGCATGCTTCCCTGAGATTTGAGAGAGCTGCTTTCTGCACTTTAACTAAATAAACGCAGTCATCTCTTTTTCTTTCTTTTTTTAAAAAAAAATCTACACTAATAAAAAGCTCATAGTGCGTCTATTAAATTGAGCCTGTCCATTACATTTAGTGTTCCTTACAATTCAGGCCTGGATGGCAAGTCAGTGGAGGTTGAGAAGTATTTATCAAGAAAACCCATGAGAACAATGAAGATTAAAAGCTATCA